ACTAATATATTTGGGTAAAGAATCTTATCGACATTGTATATCGAAGGTATTATTTTATTAATAATTCCAAGCAGAATCAAAATTATTATCATTAGAATATTTAACACGGATTATTTCTATGTTATAATAGATATGCAAGTTTATTTTTTGTCACAGGAATTTCAGCTTCAGATAATGAACTTATAACACTTGAAATTATTCATCGATATGTTGAAATTTTAGATCGATATTTTGGCAATGTAAACACAATCAATCCTCAACCCGCATATTATTATCATTTTTCTTTTTAATAATCTTGTTTAGTATATTTTCGCTTTTAGGTTTGTGAATTGGATCTAATCTTTAATTTCCAAAAGGTATTGATTCTTTTATTTGTTTTATAATTATATATTACATATTTATATATAATTATTAATAAACTTATTGAAATTTAATATTTTAGGCATACTATGTTTTAGATGAATTGATTATTGCGGGTGAGATGCAAGAATCAAGCAAAAAAGCAGTATTACGTGTAGTTAATCAACAAGATTCGTTGGAAGAAGGCGAAAATGGAGAGAAAGGATGGCCAGAAAAATCATAACATTTTCACGTAACGATGCGAGTTATTAACATTATTTATTATAATGATTGAAGAGATAAAGAATAGGACTAAGTTTATTATAAAAAGATAAAAAAAAGACTAAGTTTAATAAAGACAAGAAAAAAAGAATAGGAATAAGTTTTGTAATTGTGTATAAAAAAAAAAAAAAAAAAAAACATTTAAGAGGTAAATAATCAATTTAAAAAATTTAAAATAATCAACCACTCAAAATTATAATCAAAATCACTTGGAAAATTATAATTTGTTTCGATAACAATGTCGATAAGATTCTTTACCCAAATATATTAGTAAACAATTAATTTATAGGCTGAAAACAGTTAATGAAATAGTGAAATGCGAAATAAGTCAAAGACCATTCCATTCTAACATTTTCTCTTATTCATAGAAGCGGATTACTGCTTATTGATGTGGCAAAGAATCATTATGTTTTAATCTCCGATTATTCTTCTGGTTTTAGCTCCGACCAAATTAATGCATATAATAGCGCATGTAAATTTGAGACAGATTTAAAACTTTGCACAGTTAAATATTTATCGCGGCAAATAAATTTTTTTTTGGTGAACACACGAACACACGAACACTTGACTACCTTAGCAAGGTTGATGCTCAATCAACGTGCTAAGGTAATCGAGTGTTCATGTGTTCATGTGTTCACCAAAAAAAAAATTATTTGCCATTTTCAACCATTTCGAAAACCGCGATAAATTTACGCATTTTTTACATTTTTTCAATGTTTAACTTTACACTTTCTTACGTACTTTATATTTTAAAATATATTTGTCATAACGATATATGTTTGGATGCGTCGACATAGTATACATACAAACATGATGATGTATATATAAAGAAAAGGTGTAAGCAATAAAACGTGACGATAATTAATTATTAATTAGGATATAAATATTAACAATAAATATTTCTTGTACAGTCAAATGTAGTCCCGTAAGAAAAAAAAACCATAGCGATAGTCATAATTTATCGGTACACTACACAGCCATTAACGATATTACGTAGATATGACAAGTATTTAGAATTCTGGATGACGCACTCAGGATTCTAAATACCGGATATGACTTGCTAATTCTTGTCGGTAAATATGATATCATATAAATTTACTATCGATATCGTTATAGAGATTGACTAAAATAAAATTTAAAGTTTTTTTTTTTTCTATTGCTATTAGAAATGATTGTGACAATAAATACTAATCTTTATAAAGATTGGTACGCATGCATGTATGTATATACATAGTAAAATGTAACAAAATTTGATTTAATCATTTGATTTAGATGCCAGTATATTGCTAAATATATATATATATATATATATATATATACTAAATCTTAAGTAAAGTTCAACTTCATAGCTAATGGTCGATTTCCTTGATATTAGATTGGTTAAACATTAATTAAGAAAAAAGCTCGTGAGACATTATGATCCATACCAAACATTGACAAAGAACAAGAAAAATCAGGGATGAAGCAAATCAGTAAAAAAAAAGAAATTATAGAATTCCCGACATTACTATAAAATTTTTATACGTAAAATAAGATTTCTAAAGATATTAAAGCACGAGTACTTCTCGAGGGACAATACCGGTAAAAGTAAATTCTACAACGCCCCATACAAGTTGCAATAACAAAAAGGCTTGATATAGAAAAGTAATTCTGATTTGCAGGTGGAGAAAGCCCAGAATATACGGAAATATACAAAGAATATACGAAAAATAAACATTATGAAAGACAATACTACAGAGGACTGTAGCAACTAGAGCCGGATGTTTGATAAACAGAAACGCAATGTAAAAAAATTCCCGCGCATTTTATTTTTATTTTTTATTCTATTTTTTTTTTTTTTTTTTAAGCTCATTAGAAGAATTTGTATTACGACGATTGAAATGCATTTAATTTGTTAGAATTACCAAATTTAGTAGAGAATCTTGACTGCGAATACTTTATTTTTATGCGGATGACGTGAAGGGATGAAATTAAAATTAACGGAGAGAGATCTCTCGATTAATCGGTATTATTTATCGTCTGGAAATATGTTTGTGGAAGATCAAAGGTAAACTACCAACCACAAACAGATTTCTCAAACACACGAGGAAATTAATTATTTCCCGTGAATGAATATTATATGAGTATTATATAATATCTGATTACCTACTGTATTAGATATTATATAGATGAATATTAATTGAACATTATTAAACATATTTTAATATGCAAACAGATAATAGAAATGCAACTGGAGATTTGATTATTATGGAAATATTTATCGAGAAACTTCAAATTAATTAGATCATTATTATCATTATTGATTCATCAGTCATTGTTGAACGAGTTATTGATTATTAAATCATTTAATATAATAATAATAATATTGTTACCAACCGTTTATGGACAATATTATGGACGAACACAATTACGGTACTCTTAACAATTGCTTCATTACTCTATGATACATATAGAAAAGATGAAACACGAATTAACAATTGTAGCTTCTGCAGGGATGATAGTTGTTTGTTTACCAATGATCGCTTGTTTATTATCTCCGTGCTTTCCCTTTAGTTGCTTTGGAATTTGTAGAATTTGGATCTTTGCACGGACAATTTTTTTTAATGGACCCTTAAAAAGCATGACTCATGTTGGTCGATCGACCAGTTGACCGTACGATCATAAACGATCATAAACGATCATAAGCATACCGTTTTCAAAGCAAAAACCGTTATGGTAAAATGCACGCGTGGTTTTATCTCAGCAAGATTTAAAGCCTTAAAAGATACTTGACATTATTGAAATGAATTTAATGAACAGACTCGGAAACAATAATTCCCCAAATCTTTGAATTTTTGTTAATTCTTGTCACCAAATTTCATAATTTATTATCCCTTGCTTTTCATCTTGTGACAAGATGCACCTTATTGCTTCTCGTTATTTGCATTTCTTGTGAAATAAAAAAAAAAAAAAATTACTTACATTTGGAAAATCTTTTTAGAATGTCTTTCTTTAGAAATCTTTATAATATCTTTCTTTATCCACATCCAATAAGTTCCTGCACGCCTTCGCTGTTATTAAGCCAAAAAAAGAAACACCAAGTGCTTCAATGAAGCCTCTCACTGCGCATGCATTAAATCACACCCCATTTTTTATCACCTAGGAAGAGTTTTAAAAGGGTTTAATATAAACTTATTTAACGAATTGTGCCTGATCACTCAATATTATTTTAACAATTTAATTCAATTTTAATTTAAATGTAATTAAATTTTAATCCAATTTAATGCCATTTAATTTTATTTAATGCCACGTATTTAATTCTAGTTAATTTTAATCTTCAATTTCTCAATCTTTAAACATGATAGACCCATGATAGACGGAGTTGACTATTTAAGACTCACGCATATAATCACAAGAAAATACTTATTATATCCGTTTCTAGATAATCGACAGTCATTCCAATACCGTTAAATGAATGTACCACTTCGAACTACTTATAACTGCATGCTGCTGCGTCAGTCTGAATGCTTGTATCACTGTCGCAAATACTCCGCAATCGGTAACTGTTACTGCTTTTTTTCCCAACGGTATACATAAATTACGGAAGAAGGGGCGAGGCCTTTTGTTTATCGAAACGGGGTGTTATTGAATGGCCAATTACCAAATATGGCTGGTGAGTTGGAAGCTTGAGCCAAAGGGTTCGCTTATGCAAAAAAAGCGTGAAAGCTGCACCAAAGCAGGCAGCAACTGGTAGTCATTGTTTGTTGCTAATGGATAACCCTATGGGCATTTGGGTAATCTTTCACGCTTTACATCGACTTTTACGTTTCCCTACTATTTGTCAACAATCCCTAAACACCAATAGAACTCTTTGAATCAACCCTATCTTACCATTCCTTCCATATAATATTCCAACTTCCGACCCTGATGATTTCCGTTATAAACCCTCGTTGTTATGCCTCTTTTGCCTTTTTTTTTCTTCTTTCACTGCCTTGTTTTTTGTCCTTCCGGAGCTTCATTGATTTCTCCTCGCCCTTTCTTGTTAAAAAACAAGCATCGTCCGTTTTTGATTTTTTTTCTCCTGTTTCTGAATCCATTCATCACTCGTCGCACGTTCTTTTTTTAGTTGTGTATTTGGGTGACTTGTGAATTGGTTGGATCTTAATTTTTTTTTATATATTTTATTTTATTTGATTTTTTATTTGATCTCTTTTTTTTTGTATATTCTATTTTTTTTTATACCTTTTTTTTTTTATTATTTTATTTTACTTTATTTTACTTTATTTTATTTTATTTTTTTTATTTTATTATTATTATTTTTTTTTTGTATTATAAATTTTATTTCTATCTGCACGCGAGAACAAAAACGCGTAAAAAAGTTATTTCGGGATCTTCTGTACATTTTTTATAGACTCTCGTTCAACTTTACCACATTTTTATATACCCCGCATTCTTTCCAAACCATCTATACAATATAATTAATTTTGGTCTCTTGATGTAAGTATATTATTCATATCGGGTAATTAGTGGGCAACGTGCTTGTCCCCTAAATTGTTTGATTTTTTGCGCATCACCCCTTCCCCGGTCTTTCCCCCTAAAAGAAAAAGATAAAAAATACATGCTGCAGTTGCTGCAAAAGAAAAAAAACCTTTTGATTCCCTATATTTTCCCACACTGGAATTCTGTATAAAAGAAACCGAAAAACGCGACTTTTTACCGATTTTCTTTACGCTCCCTTTTTTGCGCGTCGTCTTCTCCCTCTTTCTTACGTGCCACCACAAATTATCGCAGCCACCTTCGTATTTTTTACTCTGATATTATTGAAAAATATTATTTTCAGTAAAAAAGAACAGTTCACCTTTTTTTTTTTTTTTTTTAAATCAAAAAAAAAAAAAATTTCTTTAAACGTTCTATCTAGGAAAAACTTTTTTTTTTTTGCTCAGGGTTTTTTCATTAACGATATTGGTTGATGTAGAAAATATATATACTTAAACACACCTTGTATATATTTTAAATAGGCTTATAGTACAATATATAACTTTGATAAAAAAAAAAAGTCGTTTTTTTCTATCCGAAATCTCTTTTCCCTTTCTCGTATCCACGCATACACTTTTCGTTTCTATTTTTTTTTAGATCGAATTTTTCTTTCCTTACCTACTATAAAAAAGAAACTGTACTCACTCAATATCCCTTTTATTTCATACTCATGCAAGACCCTCGAGTGGATTCTTATATGGAACGTCACGATTTAAAGAAAATACTTAACGAACTCGAAGGTGGGCTGCAACGTCACCAGCCAAGCGATCCCTTAGACTACATGATTGGTTGTGTAAGATCGGTTCAACAAATAAAGAGGGAGTCGAAGGAACCGCTTTCGTACTCGGTAAGTATTACTTGTTTACGTAAAAAAGTCTTACCTTTTTCGTTTGTTAAAGGGTCCCCGTTTTTATGCACCATATCTGTATCTCTTTAATTTATCCTTTATGAACATGATCTACTTTATGACGCGATTTTTTCATCAAATTTTTTTTTTATTTCTTCATTATTACCTCTTTCTAATTTCCTATCAATTCGTTCCAAATTCTAATTTCTCTTATTTAAATAGAAACTCTTTGATGGATATGCCACTCAAGCTTACGACTCAACTAGTGTGGCTAGCATTCAACGAGACGGTTCGACAACGCCTGGGCATCTCAGTAAGTATCCTTTCGTACATTTGCACGCGTTTTTACTTTAATTTTGGTTAATTACCTGATTAAAATAATTGAATTATTTTAAATTTCATAAAATTATTTAAGCAGCATATAGAAAACGTCAAAGGTCTGAAGAGGACTCATTGTAAGTTTATTTTTTTCATTTAGGTATCGTTTTAAAATCATCTTGAATAAAAAAACACACGTCATTTCCTTCATCATTTCTTTAAACTTTCTTGTTAATTATTATTTAGTATGGAAATCAGAACGCCTCCTTATTTCACTGATCAACATGTTCCTCATCGGCTTTCTGATGAAGATTCACTTCAATGGGGTCAAGGTTTACCTCCATCGCCTCCGAATCTTACTCCTCGTTTTATTCGTAATTATTCAAGTTCCTTTGCAAGGCGAGGTCGTCGTAATTCTGTCAGTGCCGAATCAATCAGACCTTCAGACGATCCTAATGATCGTACGATTCATCCAAAATCTGAAGAGGTGAGAAAACGTATCAACGTTGCTACTACCTTGAACTTGCTTTTCAAGTATTTGGATCGTGAAACTAAAGAACAAGTAGTAAGTTTACATACATAAATATATACATATATATGTATATGTAACATATAAATATATGTACATATTTATATATATATATAATGTATTACTATTCATTCCTTATTATTATTTTCTCATGTTATTGACTATTTAACCATTAGATAGATGCCATGTTTGAAAAAATCGTTCACAAAAACGAAACTATTATTACCCAAGGTGAAGAAGGTGATAACTTTTACGTTATCGAACATGGCATGTTTGAAATTTTTGTCGATGATAAATTAGTTCTGGTAGTCGCTGACGGTGGTAGTTTTGGTGAATTGGCATTAATGTATAATGTATTTATCATTTTTATCATTTTTATTCTTTTTGTTTTTGTTTTCGTGTTCGCAAATACTCACGTGATTTCCAATTTATAGAATCCTAGAGCCGCTACTGTTAAGGCAAAAACTGATGGTATTTTATGGGCTGTAAGCAGAGATGACTTTAGGAAAACTATTACAAATGCTATGAATCGTCAACGAAAAACCTACGAAAGGTTTATAAGTTCGGTTTCGTTCCTTTCTTCTTTAAATAAATCCGAAATTACCAAACTTGCAGAAGCTTTAGAACCTTTCAATTATGAAGGTGGTGATACGATCATCACTCAAGGCGAACCTGGTGAATATTTTTACATCATCGAACAAGGTTACGTGAGTGTATGTAAAGTCGAAGAGAATGGTATCGAACAACAGTTACCAAACCTTGGTCCGGGAGATTATTTTGGGGGTAAGAAGATATTAAATTATTATATTTATTATTTCATTTTTTTATAGGCTAGGAAAATATTTTTAATACTTATCGAATGATAATACTTTATATAAAAATCGAGTAGAACTCGCTCTCCTTAATGATCAACCTCGTAAAGCCACTGTTGTTGCACGTGGCCCTGTTCGAGTCGCCGCCCTAAAACGTGAAGCTTTCGTTCGTCTTTTGGGTTCTGTTATGGATATTTTCCGTAGAAATGCCCAAGGATACAATATGAATACTGAAAATAATAGTTATTCTCAATATGATAAATCTTATTCTCCTGTTCCCGAGCGTTCGGATCCAACTTTAGGAGAAAATAGCATACAAAGTCACGGTAGTGGTGACGAAAATATGGCTGTGGATGCTATGGATGAGGATTATACTTCACCTGCCTCTACCAATTCAACACATACCACTGTTAAAAAATGTGGATACAGTGGGGCTGGTGGTGTTGATGTATTGTAAAACACGAAAATTACTTGACCATTAGTGTTTTTTTTGGTTTTGGAAATGTTTGCGGGGTTTCTTTTTTTTCTCTATGCAACAAAAAATCAATCATATATGTAAGTTTTGATATTTCAAATGAAATTATCTTCCTTTTTTTATGCCTCTTTTAAGCACTTCTTTTCTTTTTTGATAATTATATAACCCTTTTTGGTCATTTTTTCTTTATCACCATTCACTGCATCCACTTATTTTTAAGAGTATGCGCGTTTTTGGTTTTTATTTTTAACGCTCTTTTTTCACCACTACCATTTTTTTTAAAAAAACATTTAAAAAAATTTTCTTTATTATTTCATACGCCCATAAATACAATTAAAGACCGAAGCTCTTTTTTTTAAATTAATTTTTTCTTATGCCTCGACGGTAGCAACGCCACCTATTATAAGGACTTTAAGATTTGCCCCCTTATGGGGCGTTAATATTTCCTCGTTTTAATTTTATTTTATTTTTTCGTTTTTTTTTTGTTTTTACTTTTTTTTTTTGGCGTTGTTTCGTCGGGGGGTTCGTATTTCTTCAATGATTTACTTATCTGTATGGAAAAAAAAGATGTTTTGGTTTTTTTTTTGTTTTTGTTTTTTGAAATAAAGTATTTCATCAATAAGCACTCTTTTAAGGTAATCTGGTATATTATCACACTGTATTAAAATTGTTTTACCTGCTATTGCTATCTTATGACATGTTACCAGCGTGAAGTATAATTTGTGGGCGGTGGTAAGAAAATAAAGTGTAAAAGATCGAGACAGGAAATCTTTCGGAGTTGAGAGACGGGTACCCAATAACGAAAGTAAGAGATCCCCTTCAGATTTTACACATGGAAGGTTAGGTTGTGAAAGACGGTGGACAAAAATTCCGCGTAGTAGACTTTTCTAATCATATTTTTCACATAAGTGTTTAATATTTTTTTTTTTTCAACTTTTTTGGTTTTTAAACTTATTTGATTCCGATAATGCCAATCTTTTGAAACTATGATAAACGATTAATAATTTATAATAAATTTCAATTTTTTTTTTTTTTTTTCCCATAATATCACATAGGTGAAGGTTAATTCAGAAAGTTTCATTACAATCTTAAAAACAATCTTAAAGACAACCTTAAAGTTTGAATTCATACATTAGAATATGAGCAGTAAAATTGGAAACAACTCAAGAAGAGATAATTTGACAAAAACCGAAATAGTTGAAGCTACGAACAAAATCATATAGGGAAAAAGAACATTTGACAAAGGAGCGTGTCGAATTGATTTCTACTATTCATAATTAT